CCTACTCTATCTACTCGGTCTCTTCAACCTACCCTACTCTATCTACTCGGTGTCTTCAACCTACCCTACTCTATCTACTCGGTCTCTTCAACCTATCCTACTCTATCTACTAGGTCTCTTCAGTATTAAACACTGCTCTTCGACAGAAGGGAGGCAGGTGTGTTCACAGAAGGAAAGACAAACAGCACATGTGCTTAGACTACATTTCTCATACTGTTCTAATACAGCTTCTCAAATCCACTAAAATCAGCTCTAATGCTTTCACCATCATCATTGTGGCAGACTGCAGAAAGGGCAACCATTTCCCTCTCTACAAACATGCAGTGTGACTTGCTTTTCCCATCAAGAAGTAAGGATGGGGAACTGGAGAGATGGCTCAACGATTAAGAGCACTGGCTGATCTTACAGAGGACCTGGGTTCAAGTCCCAGCACCCACATGGCAGCTCACAATTGTCTGTAACTCCAGCTGCAGGGGGGTTGATACCTTCACACAGATATACATGCAGGCAAAACACAAATGAACATAAAATAATAAAAAAAAATTAAGAAGTAGGGATGGGCTAAGGGCATAGCTCAGTGGAGCATCTGCCTACCATGACCGAGGTCTTTGGGTTTGATCCATAGTACCAAGTTAAGAAAGGTTTCTAGCCTTGAATCTAAATCTGATCAGGCTTTTACCTAACCTGACCAGAAAATGGCAAACTCATTAAGATCCTTGGTGTTGAGTTTACTAGCCTCGGGTTCTGGACAGCTAAGTAAACCTACACTATCCCTTTGTAATTATCCATTAGTTAAATGAGAACAGAGAGCCAGGCATGGTGGCATATATTTGTATCCAAACAAGGTAGACAAACTAGGGAGTTCAAGGTCATCCTCAGCTACATACCAAGTTTGAAGACAGCTTGTTGGTTCTATGAGACCCCATTTCAAAATACCCAAATTAAAAAACATCTAAAGAAAGGAACCAGTTCATCTACACATGGTCATCAAAAAGTCAGCCCTAGCCAAACCACCAAGTAATCACATATACATACATACCTGGAGAAGCCTACCCAGATCAGCAGGGCAACGCTGATCATCCAACTCCATCCAAATACAAACTGTCAATCTGCAGAACTGGAACTGGAAATTAAGTCATGGGTGATGTGCTGCACAGCCCAAGTTGAAGGAAGCCACAGGTTTCTAAGTTACTAAATCAAATCAAACACTCTCTGACCCTTACGTACTCCATTTGAGCAATGGGACACAGAGCTGATCAGAGCTTCCTTCTTGAGACACTACTTTCCTTAAATCTCTAGTACACTTTTACTTTTGACTGATTTTTTTCCCTCCTACTTTACTGGTCACACTTAGCCCCTTTACTTCCTTCCCTGCCACCCAACCTCTTTTTGTATGGCAGCTTTCTCTGAGATTGGAACATTCTGAGATTGAAACATTCCATCTCCCAGGGAAGCTCCTCAATACAAAAGTAAACCATTCCAATTAGCTTCAGGAAGTCCCTGAAACTGCCCAGATTGACTAGGCCTCCCCTCCAGAGTGAACAATAAAGACCACTGAGAGTCACTCTCAGACAAGACAAGCTGCAAAGAAAAATAAGACTGAGACCTGAACAGCTGCCTGTAAAAAGCAGAAAACAGCCAAGCTGCATGGAAGAGGTCTAGACCAACTGAGCCACCTGGAAAAGAATGCCCTTCAACATACTGAGCTGCCTGCAGGCTGTACAGCATGCTCCAGATTCCCAGTTTTTATGAGCTGTTACCCATGTTGAGTGGGTTTTGATGATACAGCTGTCTTTGCGTCTTTCTGCTCCTCTAAGTAACCCCTCGCCCTCAGTTCATTAAGTAGCCCCAATAAAGCTCACTGGTTCACCAATGTGGACTTCGGTGGTATCCATATTTGGTCTGTCCTGAGTTCCCTATCTGGGATGAGTAGATGCATGTGTTGAGTCTCCCCAGAAGTCTGTCCTGCAACACTCTAAATATCAACAGTCTACCAGTGCTTAAGTCATCCTCTCTGCTCTTTTGCCTGTACAAATTTCTCTTCCATGGCGGCAAGCTTTGTTATTGAACCCTCAAAACAGTGAAGAAAACAGATCAAGTTACCTTCTCTGACTACAGAGCCCATGCATAACAACAGCCTCCTTAATTCTGACATTTGGATAGTCAATGACATGGAGAATTAAGAGACCTGAACTAATCAATAGTCTCCAAACTTTCTCCTTCTCCACAAAGTTCTCATTTTGTCTTCTCAGTGTTACCTTTGTGTATCTTACTTTTATCTCCCAGAAAACTAGAAATGATCCTTGGCAACTTCTTTTCAATATTGAAAGTTAATAATCAAGTCATATAAATGCTGCCTGCAAAGCAAACTAAACCCACCACCCTTACTTGGCCGTCACTTCATCACACACTAGTCTGAGCTACCTCTGATTCATTATTCACAGGGCAGCTAGAAAACCTTAATATGCCAACATCTTCCTCTCACTTCCTTATTGAAATTTTTAGACAGCTCTGTTACCAGAATATGCTCCAAATATACCAGTCTGAACGCTTTGTCATTACACTCTAGTCACAAGTTGATCCCTTAAAGGTGCCAAACCAAGACCTTTCTCTCTGGGATATGCTATCCTGCTGCATGGAGAAACTCCTCATTGGTCCTCATGCCTGGCTATCTCTGATTTTTCAAGTCTCATAGGCTGCCTGGCTAGCTCTGATTTTTTTTTTTTTTTTAAGTCTCATAGGCCAGTAAAGGAAGCTGCCCCAAATCTGAATCTAAAGTAAAACTCTACATGTTCTCCTACCACTCCTGTGTGACTCTTTCAAATCACCAAAAAAGTATTAATTCTCTAATGTCTGTTTCACAAGCCAAGCGCCTGAGAAGACACTCAACCATACTTCATGAGCGGGAAAAACCATCAAGACACAGTCCTCGAAACTGTATGTGCTAGTACACGCCTGTGATCCAAGCACTTTAGAGCTAAAGTAGGAAGATGAGCAGTCACAGGCCAGCCCCACTTCAACTCATAGTGAATTCAAAGACAACCTGGGCTATCTGAGACTCTGTCTTGAAAACAGAAAAAGAAACTATCGTGGGGCATGGGGCACAGGAGTCGCAGATAAACCCACAGGGTATTAAGCAGCAGGGAAATCTAGCTATGGAAGCATGGTGGTTGGCGACTGTGCACTCTCCTACAAAAAGCAAGCTCAAAGGCTCGGAGCCCATGACCATCCATTTCTAGGCCTTAAGAGGTGCCTCCCTGCCATCTGTAGTTTGCTGCCAGGCAGAGTAATAGTCTGGGCAGCTGCTGAATTTCCAGCTTGTTCCAATTAAGCAGCTATGGCTAGGGAAAGTCTGAACGCACTAAGAGACCAAGAGCAGGCAGAAAGCGTGGTTCCTTCGGTTCCATACACACATACCCCATACCACTCTAGTTGAGAGCTCAAGGCTGTTTGCTTCCTCAATAAAGAGATACCCTTCAGCTTAGATATTTGCTGAAGGGGACGGGGGAGAGTGTCTCTCAAACAACAGGCTATAAAGTAGTACCCAGACAACAGGCTGTAAGGCTCACTGTAGCTGGTAACAGCTACCAGTACACACACACACAAAGGGAAATGTCTAAAGTGAATGCAGCCCAGGCTCTCACTGATCTGGGTCCACAGTCATCATGAACAGCTTGTATAGAGAATGCAAATAACTACAGCAGAACTCAATGACAATCTACTGGCCATGACTAACTTTACCTTCTTCGAGACTGGAGAGATGGCTCAGTGGTTAAGAGCACTGGCTTCTCTTCCAGAGGACCCAGGATCAATCCCCAGTATTCACATGGCAGCTCACAACTGTCTATAACTCCAGTTCCACGGGGTTCCAATGCCCTCTTCTGGCCTCTGTGGGCACTGTAAGCATGTGGTACACAGACACGCAGGCAAAACATTCATGCCCGTGAAATTGGGGGGAAAAATGAAGACTAACTTTACCCTCTTCAACTAGCAGGTTCCAGCATTTTGGCTCCAAGAACCTCCCCTAATTCTTTATCTTCTTTTTCTGTTTGTGTTTTGGTACTTTTTTTCCTTTTTACTGTTACTTTTTAGTACTGTTTTATCTTACTCTTTAAAATCTTATGTTTTTATTTTTTCTCACAGCTTTACTTTTGTGTTGGCTGAATATGAAGTTATGATAAAAGAGAATGCAAAATCTTGCAATGCTAAGGAAAAATTCTTCAAAGAAAGAGCTTGAACTTAGAGGACCAAGTAGAATGTGATGAATCAAAACTAAGCATTCACTCAAAGGAAGGACTGTGAAGAAGAAACACTTGTCGTAACACATAGATGGCAGGCAGGACAAATGGGCAATAACTGACAACTGAAATGAAGTTCAAGGAAAGGATGCTGTCTGGGATCAAGTAAGCAGACTAATCAAGGAAGCTAGGCCTGCTGTGCTAGGGTAAATGGAAGAACAGCTAAGCTGAGATTCAACCTGCTCAACACACCCATGTATTTGCAGAAAATGGTTTGCTGTTTTCCAAATTCCACTTGGGAAGGAAATAGTATAACAGAAGCTAACGTAAGCATCAGAAGCAACAATGTTGGCTCAATCAATGTTAGTATGCACTCATAGGTGGCAGATTTCTAAGATATGTATTTAATATACCTTTGTTAGATTACAATTAAGATAATCTAAATAGCCGGGCAATGGTGGCTCATGTCTTTAATCCCAGCATTTGGGAGGCAGATCCAGGCGGATCTCTGTGAGTTCGAGGCCAGCCTGGTCTACAAAGCTAGATCCAGAACAGGCACCAAAACTACACAGAGAAACCCTGTCTTGAAAAAAATAAAATAAAAAATAAAAAATGAAAGATAATCTAGGAGTTGACATTGGCGGAGACCAGGACGGTGTTGCTCAGGAGCGAGCAGTTCCTGACGGAGCTGACCAGGCTTTTCCAGAAGTGCCGATTGTCAGGCAGCGTGGTCATCACCCTGAAGAAGTATGATGGTCGCAC